TATCTGTTCAGGTGATACTTTCGATGAAGGACTTCAAACTATACATGATCTACTCAGTAGTAGTGGATATCCAGAAACGTTTCTAGCTAAAAGTATTGACTCATTTAACATGAAAACTAAGATACCAACAGTTTCCAAGAAATCACTGTTCCTAAGACTACAATTACTAATGACATCAGGGAAATTGTGACGTTGAGCTTAAAAAATGCTATAAGAAGATCATTTAATGCAGCAGAGTTATGCTGTGCATTCTGTAGTCGACTAGTGATGACTTCATATATCAAAGACAAACTAATTGACTTCACCACTTCTATTGTCAATTCACCAGTTCAACTTCTGTTGTGGAGTCAGTGTTACATTCAGCGTAAAGTTAGACAAGTTTGGTATTTAATTACCGGAGATATAAATTTCGTAAATTTGATTTTGTTTGGTAGCCGTTTAGCAGACGTCATTTTCTATCATATTTCTATAATTTCTCGCTCATAGTTTACCATCAAATGTCATACTACAGAGAAACTTCGCACTTTATCAATTGATCACTAGAGGGTAACTTACTTCATATCCACTTCGAAGTGCTAGTGAAGATCGGTATATCACCGTTGCACTATAATCATCGAGATTTACGTTTTACAGCTCATTATTCGATGCTAGGGGATAAAAAAATATAACACAGGTAGTCCTTAATCTAGACTTCCTGTTTATTAACACTCGCAAACTCAGATGAAGTTGATGCTCTCTGAGAGATCCAAAGCTTGATTGCGTAGTGTTACAGCGATGGATGTTATCTACCTCTAATACTGACTTCATTATCGGACTGGACTAAACGATTATTGTCTTGATATGTGCTGAAGGTCCTAGGTTCAATTTCTAACTGTTGAAGAGTCCCATACATTAACGAAACAGCCATCCAGTGCTCCCAGGGTTTCGATTGTTCTCCGACCGATCCCCATAAACCTCAAGATTGAATTTTCTAACAGCGTTTCCCGTATCACATTTCATATATTATTTGAATACTTCATTAGCTATTCTCAGTCATTTTTTTATCCAGTTGCTATGCCTTGACAGTCATTATTCCCTCTATATCTTTACACAGATATATTATTACTATTATTAGTCCCTTGGGTTCCTAATGGAACATAGGGCTTCAGTAGCACGTCTCCAGTTAACTCTGTTCTCTGAGATCTTCTGAACCTGGTTCCACGACAGCCCACAACCTCTCATTTCCTCCTCGCACGACCTCCTCCATGTCACCCTCGCCTCGGACACCCAACTCGTCGCTTCCCATGCGGATTCCACTCAAGTAACTGGCCTGACACGTGATGTCCCCAGTCGGCCTTCTCAGTGCATGTCCAATCCATCTCCACTTCCTCCTGCATATTTGTTGGGTGATAGGTTCTTGGTTGGTTCGTTCCCAGAGCTCCTTGTTGCTTATTCTTATTATTCTGGCCATCTGATCTTTAGTAGCGAGCCAGTGTAAGCAGATGTTGATGAATGTCTGTAGTTTATTGGAAATCACTTTCGTGACGCGCCGCCAAGTCTCTGAACCATACAGAAGCACCTATTTGACGTTGGTGTTGAAAATCCGGATCTTGTTCACGCTTTGTGGTGAGTGCAGAAGATCTGCACACTGGTTTCAGGCTAATGAAGGCCTGTCTTGCTTTTCCGATTCTGACTTTGACATCCTCGTCTGTGCCTGTGCCGCCTGTAGTTGAAACAATGCTTCCTAGATTGGTGAAGGAGGTAACTTCATTTAAGTTTCTCCCGTTGATGGTGACAGATATAACACAATGATAAACTATAAAACAATGTGCACACCTGCTTGGTTTTCCTGTTTCCACTGTCGTTCACCTCTTTCTTATGCTAAATACATCTTTACATGCTTTTCTATTAACAAACAATACTACTGCTCTTGAATATTGTTTGAAACAATTAGTTCCTTTTGTGAATTTGGATAATGTAATTAGAAGACGTAGATTATCTGAAAAATGTGATATATATTAGCGGTATACATTTCGAACAATTTGATCACACATTTAATTGTTAAGGAATTATATATGAAAACTGGGAGTGATATTAATATCAAAGATAAGAGATTGTATTCATTTGATGTCAACTCCTTATTTACTAATGTATTCCTAATTAAAACCATTGACATTCTTTGTGACCATATATCTTCCAGTAATCCTTCTTTCTCTATACCCTCAACATGTTTGAGTGAGCTGTTATTGCTGTTTACTGATAAAGTTTATTTCACATTTGAAAGTGGATTTTTTTGACAAATAGATGGTGTGGCTATGGGAAGTGCTTTAGAGGATCATTGCTAGCTGATATTTACATGTCAGACATTGAAGGCTTGACCGGTGATTTCATCAGTAAACTTACTCTCTATAAAAGATATTTTGATGATATAATCGTAATATGTGACAAGAATGAAGATGCGACATGTTTGTTAGAAGGACTTGACACCGTACAAAACAACATAACATGTGAAGAAGAGAAAGAAAGCCGTCTGCCGTTCTTGGATAGACTCCTAAGTCGTAGAAATGATGGTTCAATAAAACGGTCGATCCAAAGGAAACCCACCTAAACAGGTCAGTATTTAAGTTTCCATAGCTTTTGTCTAACCCAATACAAGCGAGGTTCGGTAACTTGTCTATTTAAAAGGATCCAGCGTATTTGTATGTAAGACTCAGTGGATGATGATGTCAAAATAGTAACGGGAACATTATTGGAAAATGGATATCCATTGAAGTTCATAAACCACTGCAAAAATCAACCAGAATTCAAACCTACTCTGTACTTTGTTTTGAAGAAATGCGTTTATATCACGTTACCATACAGAGGAGAATCTAACAGCATAATATTAAAACGAAGGTTACGGTTTGCTGTTAGCTAAACGTACTATGCAGCTAAGCTTATCGTCGTTGAGAAGACCAAACACACACTGCAACCTAGACCTCAACGCTGTATAAACGATTGCGTCACCTCCCACTGCGTTTATTAATTTACATATGTGTGTGATCAGACATTCACAGGGAAAACTAGTCGTGATATGTACTTGAGGTTAGGGGAACATGTTCCAAAATGGCTACGAAATCAGCTGGATTCACAAACATTGATAAGTGCAGATGGTAAAAAACAACCATCATCATCCACTGCAAAACATTTCATTGATAAAGGTCACAGCATTGATATTAAAACAGCCTTTACAATTTTGTATTGAAACTGTCAAGGGCGTATACTTAAGTTTGTTGAGGTGCTAACTTTAAATAAATTTAACCCCGCCATTGTGTGTCCAAAACCAGTATAGTCAACGTCTAAGGAACACAAGACCTACTATTTTACATAAAAAGACATTTCTTCTAAACTGAATAGTTGGTAAGGTAGAATGACTTTAAAGGCAGCAAATCACGTTTCTCTATTCTATGAAAAATTGTGTTCTCAACCAAAATACTGCAACCTGATTGGCTATTTCGGCAGTTGTTAGGGTGGCCTTTAATGTCACCCGTAAGGTAAATAAGATTGATAATTATTTATCTGACCTACAGAATCTCAACACGTTTGTACCAGCTTACTAGATCTCATCAAAACTGACATAAAGAACTATGCATGGCTGAAGAAAAGGCATATGTACTTGATATTCGAATATTTTATTTTTGTGAAGCATTTAATAAATTCCATCTGAGTTAATGAGTCTTGTTCTTCATTATTTATTTGATTTTACTGTTTAGATTATCCATCAAGTAAAGGTAACTTCTTCAGTAGAGTACTGTAAATTCTCTGTCCTTTGTTACCTATTTTTACGCCACTCAAGGGTTGAAGTGATCATTGTATCTCAAAGGTCACTGTTGATATTTTCAGGACATAGCAAACTCCTAAAACTAATCAAAGTTTTATATTGTTACTCAAGTTATCATTCGTCATGGACTGAAGTCATTTAGAGAAACATTAAAAACCCGTGAGTATTGGAGAGCTGTTTTTCCCTTTTACGGAACTCTTGACAAGTGTTCCTATACGTCTCCATAAGTGGTCGAACTTAGGGCTGTCAAGTTTCGTGTTGAGTATATTACCATTGTAATTAAAGTTGATTTATATCGATTATCGGCTTTCAACTTTATTTTGGCTATAGTGGATTCGCCGTGAGATACCGCGGTGCTTATTTCGATCCTATCAGTTGTCAAGAACAAAAATTATTGAGGTCCTCTGTTGATAATGACGAATGTTTCCTAATATTGAAGAAAAAATTGTCGAATAACAAAGTGGTTCTTATCAAGAAAGGGAGAACCAATTATATCAAACATTCTCTATGGAAGTTAATATACTCAACATGTTATGCTCACTTTACTACAAGCTTTATGTGATCTGACATTTTCAGCTGAACTCAACTGTAGCCTAGTAGGTAACTTTAAATCTCAGTGGGAACAATATCACTCACTGGGTTACAGCTACATCCAGCTGATGAGTCCCAGATAGGACGAAACTCTCGTCCCGGATTCTATTGCTAGTCATCAGTATGAATATAAAACCCCATGTTTTCCTTTTTTGAGTCAGAAATTGAACTAAATCTGTGTTCTAATGATCTTTGAGTTCAAATGCCAGTCCACTTACTTCGACTTTGATGAACGGTTAGTATCATCAGGTGTCATTTAATTCATTTATCCCATGACCTACTGCAATATCCAGTACCGTGTTGAATAACTGCATTAGTAGTTTTAATTAAAGTTTTCGTATGTTTTATCATATTGACTACTAAACTGTACTCTATATCACTCAGTCTGTTTAAGTCGGCCTAAAAGTTATACAATTTTGATGAACCATCTGTTCCAGTATATGAGAATGCTTCAACTCATTGCAGATACTTTTTGTTCACTTCCAATCTTTTATTCATTCTATAGGCATATTGACTAGTATTGATTAATATTCATCAAGTTTACCACTTTATTTTCTTATTGTATGATTTAATGCTTAACTACTAACATTCATCTTATCTTTCTATTCAGATTCATAATAGATCCTTAGAGTTAACGCTACTCATTGAATCATTACGACGTGTGAAAGGAATTGAAAAATCATTGATTATTTTTTCACATGATATTTATTCCGATGAATTGAATAATCTTATCGCCTCTATTCGTTTTGCTCGTACTGTACAAATTTTCTATCCTCATTCAATTCAAATCTTTTCAAATTCATTTCCTGGTACTGATCCAAGGGATTGTGAGAGTAGATTGTCACCAACTAAGTAAGTTGATTCTAATAAATTATTCACGTGTTTCAATTGTTATTATGTTTTATATCAAAAGGAAATAAGAAGCCGGGAAACATTGTATACGTGTTTGATTATTTATAAAGATGTGAAAATTTTCTATATGTTTACCACCTCCATTGTTTATTTTTACTAAAGTCAAGAGTATGAATTGTATGATCACATCGTACTCAATGTGACCAGTCTACAAGAACTCCCAGTTTAATGACCTGGGGCAATATGGTGGAATGTTTCGATCACTTCATTTACTTGAGGAGCTGCATCAACTTGAACGGGTGTTTTCTGAGGAAATCTCAGCTTGGATACAGAAGGCCCGTTTGGCATTAGCCAACCAGCTTCATCTGTAGTCCTACCGGTGAGATATTCAACAATCTATTAAAGGACGAGCATGCTGCTCTGCAGTTCGGTTTGTCCTGTCATATGGCTGTGAGGCATGGCCATTAAAAGTAGAAAGCATGAAACGTTTGCAGAGTTTTGATCATAGGTGTCCTTGTAGCATTGCTCGTGTTTGGTGGAATCATCACGTGAATAATTTTGAAATGAGGAGAAGGGTACTTGGCAAGACAGGCAAGTTGATTAGTGAGGTCATGAACCGTAGTCAACTGAGATGGCTTGGACATGTACTGGACATGCCAAGCCACTACCTACTTTGATGTACCATGCTTAGAGGTTGTATAGGGTTACAAGAGGTTTTATAGTGCCCAGACCAAGACGTAGCACTATTCCATAAACTTTCTAACTGTTTATCTGAGACATGTGGGAAATGTAGACTGCTTGGTTGGGGTTGTCGAGACAATAGCAACCAGTGGTTGAGGACGATTGGCGACATGCCTGAAAGTCGGTCACGGTGATGCTGATGTATTCACTCCTTTATATCTTCTAAAGCTTGAATATTTACACTGTCCATTATCTTCAGATTGCTTACTCTCTCACACGCTTTTATCTTCTTTGATATCTCTCTTTTGCTATCCACCTGTTTTTTGTATACTACTTTGAAGTGTGGAAAAATGGAACTGAAGCACTTGTGTGCGAGTTTCTACGTTGATTTTGTCGGTCAGTGTCACTGACCTCCAGCTAGCTAACGTTCGGTAGCCTGCTCTCCAATACTATCCTGATTATACCATTGATGTGGGTTCTTTAACTCTTGCATAAGTTAAAAAGTCTGTAATTAGTATGAAACAAAGTAGAGTCGCAGGCACTGATAGTTTGCGACAATGACTGAAGATTATTGGTTATATATCAGAGGTTGAATTGACAGGTTATTCCTATGGTTTTCACAAGTATATATTGGCATATTACACTGTATTAATACCAATTAATTCTTTTACCTCCGTGTGGTCTTGAGGCACTGGTATATTTACCGGTACGGGATACTAGCTATATTTCTTCACCTGAAGGTGACATTCAGTTGTTTTTGTCAACTGGTTTTGTGGAAGCATCTTGCAATCAAGGAGGTACCCAGGTATTTTCCTACACTACTGAAGACTGTATAATCGAACATCAACACGGTAAAGTTCAAGGGAAATAGAGAAATTAACCAACAATGTTTCAATCTTACACTTGCCTTTTTAGTTCAGTCATATCACCATGCATAATAATTTTACGATGCTATCCTAAGCAATGAATGGGCACTTCAGAAGTAGAGCAAATCCTTTTTACATCCACAAAGTCATTAGTTTATTGTAATGTAATCTGTATACTTAAATAGCTAAGTGTTAATACTGTTCTCTAGTCTAACTTACTTATATAAAACATAAAACTATGTCAGCCTGCTCACCTAGTAAGTTAACCGCAGCTCATCCTTATACTGTATGAGACATACCTATTGTTTCAGAGCTTACAGTACTACTGGATTGTCCAGGTTGAAGTAGGTGATACAGAGTTTGAATCTAAGACTAGCGGTTTGAATGTCAGTTGCTAGAAACAATGTACCACATCTCCAAATGTCTATTTAATAGGTCACTAATATCTTCAAGTGGATTGACTTTTTGTTTGCAAGCTGTTAACAGTTTAATCTTGGCTAACATTTACGCCTTTTCTCTCTATGAATAGTTGTTTTCATCCTCTAGAGTAAAATTATTCATTTAAAGACTTTTCCTTTGTGAAAAACCTTCATGTGGATTGAAGTTTCAATTTAATTATTTTGGATATTATAGTAGAATAAACTTCACTATCAGTGAATTAAAGCATCCGAGGTTTGTGAACATCACATATACGGGGTGTTGATGACGTTTATTTAAGCCATAGTAATGATGCTACGTCGTACGCTTTCGATGTTTTTGAGCTCAGGAATCTAAATTGTTCTTAGGTTTTTAGGAAAAGCTGAAAGCTTTTTATAGCCAATCAATATGCTTCGAGGATTTGAAGTTGGGTGAGTGGTGGGGGTGTTCCGTCAACTCAACGAGCCTGTCTCTCGTAATTTGACTCGATAATTCTTCAATTCGTTATCCATCATGAATTCTCAATCCGAAAATTTTAGGCACTCAAATTTCCATATAAATGTATAAAAAGAAAGTGTTCTATCTACCTAACTATATATGAAAGCGTTTAAGCAACGAGAAATAGTTAGAAATCGAGAGTTTAGTTCATAATATTGACTGTAAATATCAAGCCCCTCCACTGTCCTGGTAGCTGATGCCGACCAGAAGAAATTAGAGTCGTCGTAAAGCTACAGATGGTTTTCATCATCATACAAACAGACAGACAGAATCAAATTAGGACCTCCCACACTTTACAGTAACATACTGAAGAAGATTGGATAGGCGACTGTGATCGGTTTTCAGCCATATCACTAGGAGTCTTCAGCCGTTGATTCCTATGGTCTCATAAATGTAAGTCAGGTAGTTTACACCTCCCTAAGCGACACACATCAAATGTCAGAGTCTTCATGGATTGATGCCACATCTTCGTATGCAGGCAGCTTATATTATCTAGGTGGCTGATCAGTTCATGACTTTCCTGAACTGGAAATGGAATGTCACTTACATGTGTTACCTTGGCAAGTTTACATAGTTGTTAAGTACAGAGTTATTCTGCGGATCGCATCTAGCCTTTCACATTAGTATTAAGTGTAGCGATGGAGAGTTTGACACCAGTGTTCCAGGACGGATCTTCAGCGGAGTCCTTTTGAACAGCAGAGAGTAAAGCGGTTGATTGTATCGACTACTTCACCTACCTAGAAAGTCGGACCCCTAACCCTAGTGGCTGATAAAATATGTATAGATGTAAACGGCTCGTTTTGCTTTCACCAAATTGTGATACCATCGCGATATCCGATTGTTTATAAAGTGTCTAGTGTACTGTGCTGCAGCTTGCTCTGTTCCACTGTAAGACTACGAAACAGCTATTGAAGGTGTAAGACATGAGGAGGCTTCTGGTGATTGACCACGGTTGCCTTCGTAGCATAAGCCGTGTTTCGTGGTGTCACCACTTGAGTAACACAGAAGTTAGGCAATAAAGTTTTAGGGAGAAGAGGAAAGTGAGTTTATAAGATCGTGAACCTTCACCGACTGAGATGGCTGGGACATGTGTTACGTATATGTTAGGGATACCTAGTCCCTGAAAAAAAACTAACTTATGTATATATTATCACTGTGAAATTTAAACCTTATTTGCGCCCCTTCTTTGCTCCATGCGATTTCACTTATTTTTACTGCGGTTTAGGATACTAAACACTGACTGGTTCACTTTACATTTTTATCATGTTACTTTGTTTTCCCTGGCCAAGTCCATCTAAGTATACATAAATTACTGAATTTTCATCTCTGAATTCATTCAGTTGAAGTAAATATATCTCCAATCCCATCGTCTTCTTCTGGTATCAATTGATTATCTTTTTGAGAAGTTACCGTTCCGTCGTTAACCGTATCTTGTCGAAGCATTGTATCGTTATATATACCGCTTTTCATAACAGTATGCCTTGCCACTAAATGCCTCGTCACATAATGTTAACTGAAGTAAGTTCAGGTTAGAAAAAGGCTTGGATCAGTCGAACTAGAACATGGCATGAATCCATGAAGTCCTTGACTGTTCGTTAGTGCAATGTTGTGAGATGCAGAGTAGTCGGTTGGAGCCCGTGTGACAACAGAAACCAGTAGTTGGAGACTAGGTAACATGGTCCAAAATCGATGTCACTGCACAGATGTATACTCACATTATTTTCATCTTAACTGCTGTAGTGAATTCAACATTTTCTGCTTCTTCCTTCCACTCTTTTATTACTTTCTGCTGAATATGACGGATCTTTCCTTCTTTATTTTTCATCTTATTGCTTTGTTACTTATTGTGCTGATATAAAGTGTGGCAACCTGGACTATTATGTAGTAATACCTCGTCGTGTGTTGATAGTGATTGATTTGATTGAACATCCAAGATATTGTGTGATTAACAAATATCTGACCAAAGTTCATTCAGTCTGTGTACGTTATTCATAATTGTTTGATTTTGGAAATATAGTATTGTTAACTAGCACTAACAACTGATACATTATTGGAACTTGAGCTCTGAAATACATTTGGAAAAATTATGAATTATATTTCAAGTGCTCATGTGATTTATACAGTTCTCACACATTGATGCAATACATCAGCTTCAACAACAAAATCAATGTAGTCATGTTTCATCAGGTTGTAATTACCGATAGGATTTTAATAATCCACATAACTATCGTATATGCTGAACAGTTATCGAGAGTTGTATTAATTACACAGACATATGGTAGATAATATCTGTAGCTCAGGAGGATAACTTTTATGATGTTGTGTTCTCTGAGGTGGATGGTTTAATCGTGTAGCATTCATTATCATTCTAGACAACATCATCAAGACAAACTTCAGAATGAAGGGCGCTGTCTTGTAGCTTGTCTTGATGGCCTTATGTGTGATTGGTTATTTCTGCCAAGGTCTTGTCATTGGCTCCATCTTTACTTTGATTGGTCATCCTGATGACCTCGGAAATTAACAAAACAGGTTGTCCTACCTTACATGAAGAAAGTCTCCAAGATCATGACTAGATTATTGAAGCCTTTTCGAATCGTTGTATCTCACAAACCTACAAAATCCGTTAACTCTGTTATGCGGGCCAAATGGTACACTGGCAAACGAAGACAACCTAAACGTCATCTACAAAATAAACTGCAGGAATTGAGAAAAACACTATGTCAGACAGAGTGGTGACCCTCTTCGTATGCGTTTACATGAACATCAACTAGAATTGAGGCGTTATGACATATCCTCGCGCATATCAATGCATTCGGATAACTGTGGACAAGGATTTGGCCGGGAAAGTGTGTAAATCCTGGAATATAAAGAATACTAGAGAATTTTTAGAAGCTTGCTATTCATATCAATCAGTAATCAACAGATATATTGACAGTGACCCATTCTAATAACCAATAAGCAACAACAAGAAGGTCAAACTTTAGGTTATCAGAACAACCAATCAAAATAAACATGGGGACGGTTACAAGACCTTGGCAGAAGTAGCCAATCACACACAAGACTATCTGGACAAGGTTCTAAATAAATTGCGAAGAAAACCTTTTGGTTCACTTCGTTCTGAAGTTTATTCTGATGATGTTGTCTAGACTGACAATGAAAGCTCCACGATTAAACCATACACCTCAGAGAACACTACACCATCTAGATGCAGATATATCGCTGATTCATGCATAGACCTAGCTTCAATGGAAGTTATGTTTGTTGACCACGTCTACTGGCCATGTTCACTCATCATATACCGTAATAAATAAAATGAGATCTTTTTACACTGCTAGAAAATGGTCAATTCCAGGAAATGAACTCTTAAACAGCTAGTTAAGCTATGCTTAGAATCCATTTGTACGATATTATTTTTAGTTATAAAGTAATTGTTCACAATTGTTTATTTTATTTTCAGAGCTAAAAGTATCGGTTGTTTAAATGCTGGTTGGCCAGATACATTTGAACATTATCGTGAAGCTGGGTTTGCACAGATTAAAAATCATTGGTTATGGAAAGTGAGTTATTCTTCCTTTTATAATTGAATTTTATAGTAAAAATTGCAAATGTCTTCGTTTTCTCTCTGTTCCTGTCTTGATTTGCTCTTGACCGGCTCTTCATACACTCTTATCAGCAGCATCCCTTGCAATACGCCTGTATTGTCCCCTGCGTTGCTCTTGACAGAAACCTTACCCATTGCTGGTAATTCCCTATGATTCCTGCCACCTTCTCGATATATACTACTTATATCCGTTGTTATCAGCAACGCCCACTGCAGTTATATATGCCAGTAAAAAAATCTACATTGAATTTGTTTGTCAAAATGTATATATTACTGCATAATATTATGTAGAGTATATTTTAATGAGTTCTATTTCTCCTAACTATGAGTGTAAGTAAATAATTACGCCAAATAAACTGTATTTTGTCGTCTTTTTTTAGTAGACAATTTATACTCTTAACATGTTTTAATCTGCATATGTTTATGTAGTATTTGTTTTATTGATAGCCCCTATCTTGATTTAAGGTAGATTTTATACACATTAACCAACGTTATATGATTATACTAATATGAATGCAAATATTTGTACACTTGCCTTTTAGTTGGTAGGATATCATTCACGTCCAAAAGTTGTATGTTTACGTGCCTAAATACAGATTAGTTGATTTCTTCACTTAGTTAATAAACTCATGATAATGGAGTATATAGGATAAATTTAAGTGTACAACTTGGGCACTGTGATAGGATATAATTTCATATTAGATTTGTGTATCTGATATAACGAAACTAGGAAATTCAACTCTGAATAATCTACGAAATGAAAATAACATAGTACTTGTTAAATCTGATAAACGTAATTCAACAGTAGTTATGAACTAATTCGATTATCTCAACAAAATTGACGAATATATCCAAAAACAAGGTATTCAGCGAAAAGAGAGTCTTTTCAACGGATTTATTTTCAAGCTGTACAATCGTATATATATATATATATATATATATATATATATATATATATATATATATATATATATATGATATTTGAAAAATTATATCCCATGAGGAAGGGAGGGGAGCTAATGGGGTGGGGAAATGTTATGGCCATGATAAAGACAGTGACTGCACATACTTCTTTTGTACACACAGATCAGATCTTAGTTCATGAATAGCTAAAGCCTCCGCTGTTTTAAGGAGTTGAAAACTAAGAGAACGTGGGAGGTTTGGGCGAATTTGATAAATAATTTTAAAGTCACCATCTGGATTTGTTTTGTGATGGAAATCAATCAAGTGTTCTAGAATCGAACTTCTAACCGACTTTCTTTCACCTTTATAAAACCAAGCAGGAACATGTTGTCGTATAGGTGTAGAAAGCATTCTCTGGCTACGGCTGATGTACCTTGCTCTACAAGAGCAGGTGAACTGGTAGATGCACATAGAGGCGGCCAAACGAGGAAGCTTGTCTTTAACGCAGGCGGAGAATAGGTTGCGGCTGGTAAAAGTCAACTGAAGTCTTGCTGCTAAGAAAGTCCTATTGATTGGTCCTGTAAGACGATTCTTTAGTACATCCGATGCTAGGTCACCTTTAAACTCTAGGCTGATAAACAATCTTTTCTTTTTGAGACCGAGTGGATGACCGGTTTAGTGTTTCTTTCCCGCATATTTTTATCAATAAAAAGGCTAGGGTAACCATTTTCGACAAGTGTGTTTTTAAAAAAAGATAACTCTTTATCAATACAATCATCACTACAAATATTTCTTATTCGATAGCAAGGAGAGTGAATAAGATTTCTTTTTCTGTTGATGGGCACCCAACTATAAAAATTAGTTAGTTGTCCGTTCTACGTTGGTTTTCTGTAGATGGATATTTTGAGGTATCCATTCTGACATCGGGTGAGAAGCACATCAAGAAAAAGGAGTAGTTTATTCTGATTCCTTCTCAATGGTAAACTTGAGGGCTTGATGATATTCATTGAATGAACGAAGAACATCGTCTAGGTCAATGTTTTGTCACAAATAACAAACGTGTCGTCCATATATCTTCTATAAAAGTCAAAGCTATCAATAGTTTGACGAAGTTGTGAATTTTCTAGTTCCGATATGAAAAAAATCTGCTAACAGTGGTCCCAATGGTGACCCCATCACAATCCCATCTTTCTGCCTATAGATTTGATTATTGAAACTGAATTGGACATTAAATGTGCACCTCAACAAAAGCTCTTTCAAGCAGCTAGTTGGTAGTCCTACGTCTAAATTATGTGCTGCAATATAGTCACATACACAACAGACTGTCTCGGTGAGTGGCATACTCGTGAACAATGAAGTGATGTCTAATGAAAACGTCTTGTTTAGAGCATTAAAATCCTTAATACCCTCAACAAACTGGAATGTATCAAACATTGATTTCCTCCTGTCAAACTTGTCTAATGCCATTACATAATATTTAATTGGTTTACCATTTTCAACAATTTTTTCAACCCCTTCTGAGTTGTATACTTTCTATTTACCATTCCACATATTACATAATCTATTTGTTATCATTCGCACTTGAATTGTTATTATAATCACAAGTGCCTATGTCATCATCCGCTCTATTATTATTGTCACCATCATCATATAGTGTTTAGTTTTCCTCATGGGATATAATTTTTTCCAAATATCATATATATACGATTGTACAGCTTGAAAATAAATTCGTTGAAAAGAGTTTCTTCGCTGAATACCTTGTTCTTGATGTTACAATGACAATTTTTGAATATATCCAAACAAGATCATATGAAGAGATGACGACACCTATGGACACTGTCATGAATACAATCACTAAGAAGTCTTCTGCTCATCTGATACGCTAAATGAAATCATGTCTAGACGAGTCTAAATGGTTTAATTTAATGCTAAAAACTAGTGTTCCTAGCTGAATCTGCGGTACGATTAAGGTTCATAAACTAGGTTATATCATAAGACCGATAGTTGACTTCCGAAATACCCCCAACATACGAACCAGTAAAATACTTAGCATCAGTACTACGTCCTACTAGAGACCATTCAAATTCTAGACTATTCAGTTCTTACGGGTTAATGACCTACATATAGAAAAGAATGGGGAAAAAAATGGTTAGTTTCGATGTAACAAGTTTTTATACTAAAATACCAATCAATATGGCACTGGAGGCAATCAGAAATCAACTAAATATTGACTCAGAACTTTCTCGTAGAACTAAGATTTTCGTTGATAAAGTTATATTAGACTTACAGTTGTGCCTGACCTCCACAGTCTTTAAGTTTTGAAGCAAACATTAATAACTACTAACTGTCATAAGCAGTTTATTAAGAAATTGGTACTAATGCACAAGAAACGAAAAGATAACAGTAACACGAATACAAATAATAACGACAACCTAAGTAGAATGGAGTTCAAAGCCTCCATTGTGTTATCATGTAAGGAAGGAACATCAGAAAGCCTCCATTGAGTTCTCAACAAAGCTGGAATCAGAGTGATATTTAAACCTACAACTTCACTCAGACATAAGCTTTGTTGGCTTTTACGGATCCGATAGATCCAATTTTGCCTAAATAATCTAACCCACCAAATTCCATACAATGACTGTGAGGTCAAGTACATAGGTAAGACTACTAGCCAGTCAATGTCAGTTATATCACCAGAACACAGGAATATAGCTAAATAAAGAATGACAGACGGAACTAAGACCTATAATCTGGAAGAAAAACTCATCTATTTCAATGGATTCACTAGCACAACCATACAATAAGGTGGTGGCTAAAAACCCACTACACTTAAGTCTAATGTAATTAGTTAGGTAGAGAGAAAGAGAGAGATTGACTACTGAATCTTTGTTCATCGAGTGTACACCGAACACCTGTAATAGAGATGACGTAACACCTAGACTAGGGATATGGAACATTTTACTACGACTAGAAACAACGTTATGAGGTGACAGGGTTAAAGAAATCAGATATCGGAATGAGGGTGATTGCACTGATATGATCATAAGGAGTAATTTATCCTTGAAAAGTCATCAAGTAGATAATGCTGTATCACTGTGCGATGTATCTCCGATAAACAAATCTAATGTGGTTTACAGCATAGTTGTATTATGAGTGTTTATTCATATGTTCATGCTATTTCTTGTTGAATAAAAAGTGAAATCTCTTACACTCACTTTTACTTATTATGTCTTTCGACTCGTTCTAATTTATCGGAAATGGAAATGAGTTTATAAGTACTCTTTGATGTGATTTCTTCACTTGCTCAGATACCTCTGCATAAAGCTGTATAAATCGTCTGTCAGCACCCTGATCTGTTCTCTCTGTCAACGTCTAATTTCAAAAAGCTTCCAGTGTGTGATGAAGATTTCTATTTTCAGTTGGCAACCATCTTCATCACCAAGTTAACAGACTGGTGATGGGTGGTAACCCACTCGGCGCTTTCCTGTATGGATTTACACCATGCATCACATCTTGGAATCTTCAATAATGTGCGTGAGAACACTAACTTCATTACGGGCATGAAATGTGTAGTACCCTTCAAAGATCCATTATTCGTAAAAGGTTATAGGATTTTACGTTACTTGTAATTTCCCGTTGCTGTGCAGGGCCGAATCGTAGAAGAGTTGGCTATCGTATCCCAGTGGCTTAGTGGCGTTTGAAGCGATGGGTACTAGGTTCGAGCTTCAATGGGAACAACATTGGTCACTGGAGTGTACGTACATCCAGCTGACGAGTCCTAAATAAGACGTAACGCGCGTCCTGGAATCCTCTGCTAGTCTCCAAGATCAGTAATAGGATTATCTTTACCTTGATTTAAGCATTTTATGTTGAATAAACTGTGTGAGAGCACTGGCTAAGACGCTTTTCTTTGGAGCACGAAAAATATTTTCATCTGAAAAAAAATTATTGCAGCTCGGAAAGTATCTTTCAGAGAAACGACACTCACAAAGCTTCAAAAACAGACTTGGTAGAAAAGAATGTATTAAAATTGAGAAAACAACAAGTAATTAAGAAACTCATTCCCATGCCATTTTACTTCAAAGGTGATTATACTACTATGATGATGATCCGAAGACTAAAGACTGCTCTCACCAAGACCTATCTTTCGGCGTAGCTGGTTTTTGTATTTCTAACTTCTTGTTGATTGATGCAGTCGGGAATCTACAGTTGCACGTCACATGTTACTGCCAATTATGTGCACCAATTTACAAGCATCTGCCAGAGCGGTTACAGTGGGAGAATCGAGAGAAGTACCAACATCAAATAAGGGAATCTGAATTTCTTGTTTGAAGTCAGCATGACAACGGAAACCGGTGGTTGGAGAATCCAGGTAGTATAGCTCGACAAATAATGGTCTAAAGAGCTGTTTTTTGTCTCATGGTGCTAAGTCAAACACCGACCACCTCTCTTCGTTCGAACAGCCGCAGAGTGCGCAAACTGTGAGCGATGTTTGAGGTACTGGGACAAGGTGTTCAGTACAGTGTTTCAGGCGTTCGCGAAAGTTGGTGATCAGTTTACCATCCACTTCAAAAACTCCCTGATTGACACCAAGTTTCTTGCCGCCACTCGTTCAAATAGGCTTTCATAATCAAAATGAAGATAGATGCTCTAGAAAAAATAGGTTATGATCTGCACACAACCACTTAAATAACGTTCCTCTGAGCTTGAACTTTCGATCTGTGCATTCAAGACCGCAGCTAACAGTAAGATATCTGTAGGAAAGGTTATTCAATTGATAGTAGAACTCATTCTTAATGATCATATTCCAGGGTGTAGTTAGTTGGATTATAGTCAGAAATGAGGAAGAGACATCGTTTCTCTTGCGAGTTACTTCTCACTCTAATCGAGGTTTCTAGACTTATAGGACACAGGCGACTGTTGATGGTGATCCACGGAACTAGTTCACCTCTAGTTCTGACACTTAGATTGACACCAGCCTCTACTAACGCCACAAGATCCCCGGATGAGTGCACGGCAAACATTCTTTTTGACCTGACAGATGGATAAACTATTCGAAGCACTTCACTGAGGTATTTTATGCTCTTCTTTGAGTTTCAGCTTACATTAGTAGTGAGGCTTTTCTCAGTCCTAGCTAAACGTGTCCATCATCGTATCCGTACCTAGGTTCGAACATTGAAGATGACAAGCCTAATCAATATGCGTGGTTTGAGAATAGTTGCCAGATATCACACGGAAAAGCAGCCTGTGGAATTAACTGCTTAACGACTCAAGACGATACAAACAGACCCTAATTCCAGTGAGAACCTGAGTAAAGCAAAACACACATGCAGATAAATTTACAAGTGATGGCAAAGACACAAAACAGCTATGTTAAAATAGCAGCGCTGAAATGAATGAGTATAAATTTTGTAAGAAGTGTATCTGGTTGTATTATGTAGGGATTCCGTAAGGGCTTCAAAGTGCTTCGTGATTAGCGTTAAGTGTTGATCGGTATGAAGCTCTTAACTTAGGTTTCATGCTTGTTTCCACTCGTCATATCTGCAACCATGAGCAAGCTGGTTATAATGCGTCTTAATTTATTGTTGTTGGTGAATTGTTCTGGAGCACACTAACTTTTGTAGCTGCTGAGTGAAATATGAATATCAACTATCAACGTTCTACAACTTCCTAGCTGGTTTTTGACCCTATTCGTCAATGAAGGCAACACATTGATATGAGCAGAACATGTATTGAAACAGAAGACTCGAAAAAATAACATCAAAATAAGAATATCTTCGTATATATTACATAATACTGGCGTTAAAAAAAAAGTATTGGTTGGATGTCTTTCAGTTGAACTGTAATCGTAATTAGTACAAAGTAATGGATGATCAAAGAAATTTATTATGAAGCATAGAAAAAAAAATTGACTGATAGACCCAAATACCCAACTGTTGGGAAGAAACCTGTTTTCTTTTGTCTAACATTTACCAGTGTAATCACAGAACACCTGACAGAAACAATACATCAAATAGATATTTCTGAAATTTTCAGGATAATTAACAAACAAAGAAGGGCACGTTTATTACAGTTTTTGGAAGCTGTCACCATCAAACATTTTCAGCGTAACCGGTGTACTCAGAAAGACATTATCATTATTGTTGATAATATTTCAATTCAATTGAAGGCTGTTTACAGCTGATGTAAAGCTGTGAAATAAAATGAGCAAATGTCTTGTTTCTTACTTTATTCAAAAGTAAATTTTGATTGGTCCATTTCTGGACTATTTATTCGATCCACTTATCAACTTGCCCCTTCATAAAGGTGGATTGATTAAGATAATAAAATGTGACTATATTATCCCAAGCTTATGTTTATTCTTTATGTGTTCAATTTGATGCATAGAAATGTGTGTATAAAACTTCTTATATATTGCCTTATTTTTTGATTTTTCATTTCAGATTCAATTTATGCTTGATCACTTTTATCCTACCAAGTATTATAATGGATACTTCATTTTATTAGAAGAAGATTACTTTGTTCTTGAGGATATTCTAGAAGTGACTTCTTTGATCAGTTCAAAGATTTGGAAGTAAGTTTTTAACTTTATGTTAAATGAATCAGTATCGAGGATGTTTTTAGCCAACCTATGCTTATTTATACTGTTAAACTGATTTTATTTAAAGGGTAAGAGGATATCAAAAAGCTTTTGAGTAGTTGAAGACGTTTGGTAACGTGTAAATCAACATCTTTTTGCATTAATTTATATGTCTTACCTATTTTATAAGGAATTATGATACAGCTTTGCGTTATAGACCTTGGTAGATGGAGTTCTTAACCCGTCACCCCCTAGTTAAAGATCAACTTCTTACACTTGTAAAGCATACAGAGTGGTTCAAAACATTCATTAGACATTTCTTTTTCATGTACTTTTCCCATAATAAATTTCGAAAATGTAATATCCTACTCCATCCAGCTTTACTTTATTTTTTAGTAAAATGCGAAAGACTTATCCGTAAATGAGGAGATATTAGGGATGCACTCCTTCACCGTTTTTGTTCAACTTTGTTATGTTTTTTTAGTGAATAATAACCTTAGGTAATTCTGACTTCACAGAGATTGAAGGTCATCTGATTGACTTCAAGTACGCTCTCAATATCGTTGTGTTACGTGAAGACACTGCCAAGAAACAGTATTTTGAATACCTTTGGTAGAAATCTGACTATGTTTGACATGTGTCTCTCACCTGTCAGATATAAGATGATCTTTCAAAACTGATCGCCAACCACTCCTAGTTTAATGGTCGGAAGTAAAGTGATTGAATACATTCACCATTTCACTTACTTAAGGCTTTTGTATCAGCTGGAACAACCTGGTTCCTGACGACATCTCAGCTTGGATACAATGGGACTATTAGGCATTTGCTAACTGGTGTCATCTCTTACGCTTACTGGGGTGATACCTGACTACCTATTAAAAGACGATTTTACTGTGCTGCAGTTCATTTTGTGCAGTTATACTGCTGTGAGACATGGTCGTTAAAAGCTGAGGACATAAAGTGGTTACAGAGTCTTGATCGCAGATGGGTAAAGGATACTATACAAGGGAGGCAGTCAGTCAAAGATTGTAAGAGATGTCTGATCCCTAAAAGTTTAACTTATAATATGTATATGTTATCACTGTAAAATATAAACTTTACTTTTCCATCTTTTTCACTCCATGGCATGTTATTTACTTTTAATACGGTTTAAGATGCGATACTATTAACGACGAAACAGTGACTTTCCAACACGGTATTCAGCTGATGCCAGAAGAAGACAATTGGACTGTAAGTATAGTTACTTCAACCGAATGCTGCAATTATACCTGAGAATCCAGTCATTTACACACCTTTAAGAAGGCCTTGGTGAGGGAAAACAAAATAGCTTACTGAAAGTGTCAAATAGAACAATCAGTGTTTAGTTATTTTAAACCGCGTTAAAATTAAGTAACATGGCACGGAGCGAAAAAGGCGTGAAAGTAAGGTTTAAATTTGAAAGTGATAATATATACATATAATAATTTAGTTGTTTAGGAATTAGACATTCCTAATACCTCACTCTTCCTTTAAAAGAACTGATTCGCTACTTGCGATCCACTTGGAACCAGGTATGGAAAGTTACATTAGCATCTGGATCATAGTAAAATTCAGTGATGCTGTTTGCGATTCCGTCGACTGAAGGGGTGACGTATCAGGCGTAGAATTCGATGACTCGGCTGCAGATATCCTGAACTTAGTAAACAGCTCGATTAGCTTCATTTGTTGTTCGAGACGTTTGACCGTTTCCTCATTTTTAAATCTTATCATCGTCTATGCGACAGAACCCAAGAGACCACCGGTCCAATCTTGGAATATTTTTGTGATCATTCATTTCTCTTCATTACCAGAAACGATTGTCTTTAACTTGTTATGAACGAGAATGATGATTCTCTCATGTATGTTAGTATTTCTAATCGTGAATGCGAAAATTTCAAGCTGAAATCCATTACCGATGACCAATTGAAATCCTCGTTGCTCATATGAGGCCTTCAATGATCTAAGTTTGCGAACATCCTGACTCCAGGATTCGCCAGACAACTAGTTCCTCCGCATGCTTTTCTGGCCAAAAAAGCCCTTGTTCTTCGTCTCCTGTTTATCATGTCAGAAGTTCATGCAGTACCGAAAGAAACATGAAGAAGACACTTTCACTACCTGCTAGCATTGTGGTGCGTGGCATTTCGTCAAATCTTGTCCTTATAAGCAGAATAAATGTCAACCAGTTGACAAGTCTCTTAGTCTTACTGCAAATTTTCAAGCACACGCGCCAATGCCGAGAAAATATACCAATGTCTAAGTAAATAACATCTGGTGTGACTACAAATCGATAGAATATTTTACAACTTTTGACTTAACTGCATCCATCAGAACGCTCCCAGTCACCACAGAGGATATACAGATAGCTACACAGAAGGACAAAACTTTACAACTTGGCCAGAAGAAACGTTCACTGCCGATCTGCTACAGCTTCATCTTCACCGAAACTCCGTGTGTATCGTCAGAGTTTGCCTCATGTTTGGAAACCGAGTGGCAGTTCCTAAATCTCTTCCTAACCTCTGGTTATATTATTCAATGAAAACAATAGTTAACTTACTACTGCTTTTAATTTCAGCGTATCATTCCTTTATCAATGTGTGCTTTTTTGTGTATTTTTGTTTCATTTGATAAAGTCCTTCAAATGTTGATGGAATTATCGCTCTTGGATCATATGATAAACACCAAAAATATACCTCCACTAAGGTGAGGAGTTTATTCTCTCATATTTCTGTATTAGGAAAAATGCTTCTAAACTTGGTTATCATGTAAACTGATATTACGTTTTGTTTAGAAATTGATCTTAGGCAAACCTGACATACGCAAAGGCTAATCACTAATTATGCGTACTTTTTATATACCCACGAGTGCAAGACCAAGAAAGAATGCAATAGAGTAGCCAGATGAATCGATCATGCCAAATTACCCATGCGTTCTGATGACTAGCTGCCTAGACTATTGTATACGATCAGCTCAATCTAACACAACAACATGCCCAGTAACATGGATGCCTGACCGTGTGCGTTCAGTTTAGTGTTGGTTGAAACTATGAAGGTTAGCATAAATGCTGAATCTTATCGAACCCTGGGCTACTGATTTCCTGGCATTACAATTAAAGAGGGCGAAGTAGTTTAAGATTGAGTATGCATCATGTGAATACATCTTTCAATCTTGAATGTGCTCATTTGCTAGATTACTATTTATAGTGTATAGTTTATAGGTAGAAAGTGTTTCACCTTACCTGAGATTTGGTAAGTACGCTGCTTTCATTGTATAAAGCTGACATTGATGTATGTCAACGTTATCTACTGTAAAATTGTACTGATTTTTACTATCTGCCTAAGTTCGATTCAGTTGTGGCGAATAGGCTGATGAATTCTGGTCAAGCATTATAAGAGATAGAATTTACCAGGTAAAGATAATTTAAATAGTCTTAAGTTAAAGACTTTTTTCATCTCAGTTGTCTGACAACTTATCGATATTAAACTGTGTCTCATGTGGGTAGATATAATAGAGTTTGTGGAGATGATGAACTGAAATTCACTAGGAAATGCGATGAATCCACTGCTGGTTGAGAGCATTTTGAGAGGAAGAGCAGACTTTACCTATTCTTGACTATACTGAATCATGTGGGGAAGGTGGGAATCTACGCATCGATATCCCGTATGGAATCCATCTCACTGACGTGGAGTAAGCAGATTCTATTACTCTATGTAATGGATATATTGATAAGATGTGGAAGTCATTCACTATCTTAACGGGCATATGCAGATGTTTAACGTTTGTCGGGCGTGAAATGTTCTACGACTGATGTGATACATGTTAATAATGAGTAATATAGTTAAATTTGGGAAGTTTAATTAGCTGTAATAGATTCATTGCTATCGAAAATCATCACAAAGACACCTTACACTATCTTTGATCCAACTAAAGTATCCGAAAAGCTATCAAATAGCATTTTCACCATGCAGCAACCCGCTGTATCGAACTCTGCTACTGTATAAAAAACATATTATTCAAGGTCACAGGTCACTTGTAGTGTTCTAGGTAAGAGACAGATTGCGGACACGCACCAGGTAAAATAGCTAAAGTGATGGGCGCATTTTTAAAAAAAGCGTTTTTTCAACGATAGTTTTTTTGGCATATTATGAAGTAGGAAAAAAGTTTGCAAGATCAAGAAATGATACCAGTTAGTATATTTACTGATGCCTATTCTTCTGAAATGTGTTCAGAAGATTAAGCTTCATCTTTTACACAGTCGAAATGTTTGAAATCAGAGTTTAGAATATCAATGCCACATGATATGCAGTGGATTGAAATGGCGTAGATGCCTTATTACCTGTTGGTATTTTTCTTTGCTACTCTAGTGAGATGGTGTATCAACTTCAGTCTATGCATTGCTTTGTAAAGCTCTATTTTTTAATGCCAGTCTGTTTCTGTGGAAGCTCTTAAGTTTCTGTTCGTCAGATAGGCTTATAATGATATTTAATGTGTACTTTGATGACTTTGTTTTGATAATGTGAAATGTTTGTGACCTATATCGCTACAATTCATTCTGTCCTGTTATACAGCTGTGAGACATAGCCGTTGAAAGTAGAAAATTTGAAGTGATAGCAAAGTTTTGATCATAAGTGGCTTCGTAGCATTGTTGAGGTCAGATGAAGGGTACTAGGCAAGACAGGCAAGTCGATTGATGTTGTGAACCTTAGTTGACTGAGATGGCTTGAACATGTGTTGCGCATGCCGAGCTACCACCTATCTCAGTGTGCCATTCTAGGAGTTGTTAGACTAGTAATAATGGATAGTGGCTAGCAGTGGAATCCAGTATGCGCATTTCGTCTTATTAAGAACTCGTCAGTTGGATGTACTTGCCTCCCAGTGAGTGATGTTTTTCTCACCTGGATTTGGACTGGGGAGCTATCGCTTCAAACTCCAGAGCGTTATCACCCACTGGGAGGCAGGTACACCCAGTTGACGAATCCCATATAGGACGAAGTGCGCATCCTGGATTCCACTGCTAGCCACTATCTATCATTAGTATAATTAGAACACAGGTAATATCGAGGCATCCGTACAGGAGCCCATATGCCAATAGAAACCGATCAATTCGGTTCAATCAGTGACGGTATAATACAAGTAATCATACTAAAAATATTGGACTAGGTTGAAAGAGAGATCAGGGTGACCAGACCAAGATGTGACATCAGTTCACAAAGTCTCTTACTGTTGGTCTGAGTCATATGGGAGATGTAGACTGGTTGGTTGGGTTCTCCGAGACGAAAGGAATGAGTGGTTAAGGACTGTTGGTGACATGGTTGAAAATCGGTCACAATAGTGCAGATGTATTCACTTTTTGATACTTTCTAAAGCTTGAATATTCACACTAACCGTTATCTTCGAATTGTTTATTCTCTCTCACAACTTTGTCTACTTTGGCATCACTCTTCTTTTTAACCTTCTTATTTTTTGTATGCTACTTGGATGTGTGTCAGTTTGAACTGATCCATTATGTGCGAGGTTCTATTTTGATTTTATCAGTTAATCATTCACTCAATCAGTTTTTTTCCTCTCTTGTCATTTTCAGGTTGAAGTAACCTACTGGCTTGCACCGAAGCACAACATGGGCATGGCTATCTCCCGTTCTATGTGGAGAAAAATTCAAAGTTGTCTAGATGTGAGTTTGTAATTAATTCTAGTACATTTTAATGACCTACAGTGAATGTCAGAAATAAATGTAGGTTGGTACACTTAACGCAGATGATTAACTGAAACCGTTTATACATTGCTTACATTGTCTTGTTGTAGTCGAATTATTTGCTTGAAGAGAGTGACCAAAGGGCTAGTTTTTCGTAAAACAAAGAAATGTAATTGACGATTTCGATAATTGTTTGAATGGCCTTTGAAATCATTCTTATTTGAAAAGCCCCACCCTTGAAATCGCTGTTCCAGTAAGAAAGGTAGTTTTTCATAAAATAAAGAAAAGTAATTGGTTATCTTAAGGTGACCTTTAAAATGACTCTTGTACACTCAGCATAATCAGATTTCATGCAGTATTTGTCATAGTTACCGACTTCAGAGATGAACATTTTGCAAAAATGTTTCCTGTCGGTGGAGTAAGATACCACCATCAAGTTATACGTTGTGGTTACTTTAGTGTCCCAAAGATTTCAGTTATTTGTTTGCTATTCTATGTTTTTTTTTAAAAATAGTCCATAACATGCTTCAAGCCATTCCGAATTCGTTATTCAGTATAAATTGATTTTGACAAATCTCCTGAAGTGTGCTTGACTCCTTCCCGTCAATAACTATCTCTGTGTCTAAAGGAGAACTGCGGTTGGATTTGAACCAGCGACCACAGGATTTCCGGCTCGGCGCCGTACTAACTGAGCTACGAGGTTCGACTGCTGACTAGAGTTTTATTTCACTTCAATCATCAAGAGTTTTGTAAGACTATCATGTGAATTCCTGACGCGTTACTATCACTTGGTCGTATTCACATTGGCTGCCTAGTCAGGACTTCTCATCTGAATCCAAATCTAACTGAATCAGAGAGGGGGGAGCATCATATTGATTATCATTTTGACTATCTGAGATAGCCGTAGTTTGTTGGACTAGTAATTATATTGGGTGATGATTGAAGGTGACATGAAAATTTGGACCCGGGTGGGAATCGAACTAGTGGCCACTGGGTTTTTCCAACCCGATGCTGTACCTACCACCCAGTATCAATTCTAGTCTGTCAAACCATGACTGTCTCGGATAGTCAAAATGATACTATTATCTTCTAGATGTTTACTATTTGCATGCTACATTTCCGTGTTAAAACAGGCTAAAGAATCCACCATGATTGGTTTAATATTTCGTATATTTGAAATTTTATGTGTATATCAGGATAATGCCTGATGAGAGCTAAATGAGAACAATATTGTTCGCCTTATATATCCTCGTCTAATGTTGACAGTGTGTTATATTTTCGTAGGCCAATTTTTATATATTCCAAACGAATATAATACGCACGCTTAGCTGACAGCTAACTTAGTACTCAAGAGCGACTGGCTGCAACCCCGGGAAGAATAGAGAGAAGACCAAAGCTGGATGATGGGAGAGTTTATTACTCCGAGAATATAGTAATAATTGAATCCAAAACACGTGAATAAGTACACACATGAGAAATGACCTTGTACTCAATTTGAGACATTCGCATAGTAAGAGTAAAGATTAACCAATTGGTGGTTTACATTACAATGCGGGCAGAAAATAGACTACTAGTCATACTGTTAAAAAATGGTATGGGAATGACACGTTAAAATGTTCAGATCAATAACAGTGTTTTATACAAAACTGGGGCATCACAACACAGTAGGAATCTTTGAAATAAATTATTTAATTATTGAATAAATTTATTCCAATTTTACTTATTAGTCTCTGTCAGTTATGCCTATTCTTTGCATTAACTCCTATAGGAAATAAATGTTGTTTGGTTATTTAATGGTAGCATAATGAATACATCACTTTGCGTTAACTCGTTTCCTTTCCAGCTGTTTTGTAAATATGATGACTACAATTGGGATTGGACTTTACAATATGTTGGACAGAACTGTCTCCCGACGAAATTGAAAGTGCTCACATTACCTGATTCTACTCGTGTCTTTCATTTGGGTGAATGGTAAGTGATTATATATATATATATATATATATATATATATATATATATATATATATATATATATATATATATATATATATATATATATATATATATATATATATATATATATATATATATATATATATATACCTTATCTGCTTCTCAACCATCCTCTGGCTTAAAATAAATTACTGTCTGCGCCCACAGCATGCTGTGCTTTAAATGCGTATATCTTTTGAGTGAAAGATATCCTCAAAGAGGTGGAAATAAGCTTTTAGAAAAACGTATATTATCACCGTGAGACCGCTTATCATTATTCCTCAGGATAAAAATGAAAAGAGAGACAAAATCAAGTTAAAACCTTTTATAAAACAACGTCGCCTCTAGGGACAATACAAAAGTAATGAAAATTTCAGTTACAACTGACATGAAAACAGTAAGCCGGTTCATCGTCATCGCCGAAATCGATTCTGAGACATATCTTCTACTCTACAACCACTGATTTTGGTTGTTACACGGATACCAAACAGCATTTATACATTTCCTACACCACTCACATCAGCAGACAGAGACTTTATGAACTGATATCTAGTTTCAGTCTGGTGACCTGCAACCTTTTCCAATCTTTAAACACCTATTTCAGATAACTGCGCGACGCGGCAGACGGTGATTAGGCATGAGTAACGCATATCTACCTCCCTAGTCCGAGTGTCTAGCGCTAAAGATACTTATGTGGTTCGCTTTCAGATACATGTAATAAGTATGTATGCGTTTGAGTTTTCGCCTACGATTACTTATATTAATGAATTCAGTGGTGGTGGGCGTCTGAGATGTCTATTCTATTTCTGTATATATGGCGAATTTTGAAGTTGCGTGTAATGGTTTGTCTATCTTTAGTATTCTTCATGAGAAGGCAGCATCTACGGTGGGGGGAATTGCTTATCTGTGCTTCGTTAACCGACGACAGAGTGTGTGTAGTGTAAATTGTCGCAGAGTGATGGGCATCTGAGGTTGAAGTCGTATTGCTGGTTGGATGGGTTGTGACAGCAGTAAGGTGTTTCCCTTGGATGACCGGCAGTCCCATGGTGATGCTATCTTCTCTATAGAAAATAGGACTTGTCAAAGGTTGGTCGTAGAAGTAGCACACGTATCTGTGCCCCACATTCTTCTGGTCCCGGTGGTATGGGTTCTCTCCATCAAGCGTCAGAACAATGAAATCCCACATCAGGAATCCGCAAAAGAGTGTATGTGACAGGCGTCAAGCAGATATCCTATGGTCTATATGGTCACAAAAATCCTTTTCTCTGTCAGGTAGCTTAAGAAGAAATAGCCACGAAGTGTGACCTACCTGCAAGCTTTTATAGTGATATGTGAGACGCTTGCAGTCTGATCACATATATTCTGTTGAACGTGATTTTCTTCGCTGTAAACACTGAGAGCAGCTATGGTTTGTTGTTTTGAGGCTTGCGTTTAATCACTGCTATGCTATGCGGTTCATATTGCCCTCTACACTTCCCTCCTCCTGAACAAAGGTATAACGGCATATTAACGAAGGAATAGTTCTGGAATGTAATATGTATATTTCCAGATTTCTTCTTCGAAACACAATTTTCTTGATATTCATGGATATGGTACAAGAGAGTAGTAACTGCTAGGTTAATGGCTTATCAGTTTGTTTGTTACTTTTGGTCTGAAGTTTGTACCATGAAATATTTATTTTGCTGTATAGAACGACAAACTTCTCATTTATCAAATTGAAAAGAATAATATTTATCCACAACTTAGAAAACTATACTCTTGAAAACTTTTGACTACACTTACATGTGTTGTAAACAGGAGTCATTGAAACTGGTAACAGCAAATATCAACGATCGTTTTGTGAAAGGTTGTTTCACCGACAACTTTGCTACTTAAAAACTCTTATCTGCTGCTGCAGACGACCCATGTTTCAGCCTACTCGCTCTCACATGCACTCGTATCCCTTTGCATAGTCATATCACACACTCTGTCGTCGGTTAACGAAGCACAGATGCTGCCTTCTCATGAAGAATACTAAAGATAGACAAACCATTACACGCAACTTCAAAATTCGCCATATATACAGAAATAGAATAGACATCTCAGACGCCCACCACCACTGAATTCATTAATATAAGTAATCGTAGGCGAAAACTCAAACGCATACATACTTATTACATGTATCTGAAAGCGAACCACATAAGTATCTTTAGCGCTAGACACTCGGACTAGGGAGGTAGATATGCGTTACTCATGCCTAATCACCGTCTGCCGCGTCGCGCAGTTATCTGAAATAGGTGTTTAAAGATTGGAAAAGGTTGCAGGTCACCAGACTGAAACTAGATATCAGTTCATAAAGTCTCTGTCTGCTGATGTGAGTGGTGTAGGAAATGTATAAATGCTGTTTGGTATTGGCGTAACAACCAAAATGAATAGTTGGAGATCGTACCGTCACTTTTTTGTTTGTTTCTGTATCTTACGTCTTGGTGCTCCGTCTACGTAGATGTGATGATTTAAGGTGCAGTAACTTGAACCGTTTCTCAGTGATGTCATCGTAGCACTTAATGAATGACTGCAACTTTTTATGGTATAGCAACGATACAGATTCGCTTGTCCGCACTTATTCACCTTGTACGTACAAAGCACTGGTGGAACACAGCACGCAGATTTTTATCGTTGATATATCTCAGCTTCCCGTATTGACCTGCAGAATAGTTAACGTTTGAGTAGTGTGTGCTTATATGACATCTGAGCTTGCAATTGTCAGTCTAACGCAAATCCCCTATTGTAAATTCATGTGTATCGTCGTAGCTGGACATTGCTTGACATGTACAATTTTTATATCTTTCTAAATGAATAAGATCACTTGAATTAACCGGCATTTTCCATTTTCTTGCTGTGCAAGCTATACTGTCTAGATTTGTAATTTTTGTTTTAAGTGCTGCTATCTTCCACCATATGCCACTTCTTGAGTATTATCGGTATTGATACTTGATGATGGTTGAATATGGAATAAAAATTTGGACCGTGGCCTGATGCGAACCAGCGACTACTGGGTCCCCGGCCCGATACTCTATCAACTGAGCTACAAGGTCCGACTGACTAGCCAGCCAGTGTGAATACGATCAACCGACAGTAACGCGTCACCGATTCACATGGTAGTCGGACAAAACACGAGGTGATTGAATTGAAATAAAAATCTGGTCAGCAGTCGTAGGTCAGTTGATAGAACATTGGGCCGGAAACCCGGTGGTTGATGGTTCGAATACAGCCGAGGTCCGAATTCTCATCCCAACTTCAACCATCACCCAGTATCACTAAGAGTCTGCCAAACCACGGCTATCTCAGTCAAAATGATATTATTGTTATAATAATAATAATAATTCACTTTATTCCAAACAATTTGTGGTACAATTTGGAATTCTCAGCGTAATATATATTGCAATAACAACAAGATATAAGTATATACATACTACTTTGCAGCCTCCTGAATTGTTTTATTATAAAAATTTAAGTTATGTGAAGAATATTAAAAACGAGAAAATTTTGCATTGTAAGTTAAATTATTGAAATGAGATTTTTAACTGTCACAAAGTTGATGTGTGATTTCTGTTCTAACACTTTTTTCCTCACAAAATATGCGTGCAAGGTAAGGTACAGTCGAGTTCTTATACTTAGCTGTACGAGCATACAGTCTTATGTAGTTTCTCCTTGTCCTCCCTGAGGAGATACATGGAGAGAGCTGTAAATGAAGTGGATGCTCACTGTCAGTTAAAATTTCTGTAGCTAGTAGCTTGCAGGAATTTATATGTCGATCAACTACAGTGTTAATCAGTTGAGCCAGAGACACACCACTCACCCTGCTGACGGTCTTCAAAGCCCTACGCAACATAACATAGTCCTTTTTAAGAAGACCAGGAAAGATTAATGGGGAACAATAGAGAGGAAATAGGTAAAATGCAGGAATTAATAAATTGTAAAAGAAGCAGTTGAGTTATACCAGAAAGCCTCAATTTCTTTACGTAATAAGTTAAACGAAAGATTTTTTTACAAGTCAATAAAATATGGGACGACCAACAAAGGTCAGAAGTAAAACGCAACCCAAGATAGTTCACACTCGATTTACTTTCTGCAGAAATACCATTGATGCAGCAGGCGTCATGAGATTTAAGCAGCTCACATAAGTCTTGTTTACGCCTGAGGCTAAAATTAACGGTCTGACATTTAGAGGGGTTTAGTTTGAGACCATTTGAGAGAGACCATTTACCAACTTCAGACAAGAATTCATTTAATTTCGAGCAATCCAAAGAAGAGTTTACTGGAATAGAAATCGTCAGGTCGTCAGCATACTTGATAAAATTAGTTTCAACAGAATAAGGCAAATCGTGCAAAAAAAGGAAAACAGAAAAGGAGAAAGTACAGCACCTTGAGGCACACCAGCTTCAGTAAGCAATGAAGTCGAGCGCATCCTTTATGAATAGTGTACTGTTTCCTTTCAGAAAAATAAGAATGCAGCCATTTTGTAACCCATGGATCAGTGTGAGCTATGGCAAGCTTATTTAACAAAAGTGGTCTAGGAACAGAGTCAAAGGCTGATGAGTAATCCAAAAAGGCACAACGGACATACTTAACACCTTTGTCGAGACTAGAAACAATATTATGATGCAAGACAGTAGCTGCATCTAAAGTACTCCTCCGGTGTTTGTAAGCAAACTGTTTTGGATCTCTGAAGGCCATCAATGAAGGCTCAATCACAAGCAGAAGTAATTTCTCCATTGTCTTCAGAAAAGGGGAAGTTATAGCGATGGGTCGAAAAGTAACATCTGATCCAGAAGATGGCTTAGGCACAGGTACAATTTTTATCTGCTTCCAAGCAGTGGGTATTATGTTTTTAGAGAACGATACATTGAAGATATCTGTAAGTGGATGACACAAAATATCTGCACATTTTCTAAATATGATACTAGAAACACCATCAGGACCTAAGCTTTGGGAGGGATTCAAAGACTTTAGACAAGTACATCATTTGTATTGAAACCTGGAAAGCAGCTATCCACTTGATTTTGCACATTAGGAAGGGTGAAATTAGCTTGCTGACGTATAAATGACTTGTTTAACGCGCAGACATCCGAACGAGTTTGTGTTGTCATCTGTTTTTTACCAGTAAGCTCTTTAAATAATTTCCATATATTGGAAGAGTTCTTACACGATAAGAACTTCTCGTTGTATAAAGTATTCAGACGTTATACTTCAGACTTAATTAGGCAGTTAAGCCTTTTAACGCCAGGGTGATCTCTCGCCTTATACAACCTTTCCTTTTCTCTCCGAAGCCTCTTGAGATGAGGAGAGGAAAGTCTGTCAAATCTCATGTAAATTGTTTCAGTAGGACAGCAGATATCGATATTGGTAATAGTGTTGCCTAAAACTTCATCAGCAATTTTACGTATACGTGTTGATTTTTATAAACCGTATGTGTTGTATAGCTCTCTCTCACTCTGTTGTTGGGCCATGGGGTTCACTGCCATTAGTATCTACAGTAGCAATGAAGGGAACGTTATGATTATCAGTTTATTAGATTAGAAATAGTGGAGTTCTGGCTCATTGGTTTAGGGAGATGACTTTAAACCAGTGGGTTGCACGTTCGAACGCCACTCCACTTACTGAGGTTTAGGCAATCAGGTAGTATCATAAGCCTTCGCACATTAGGTGTGACTCATTGCCTACGGCACGAATATATGCAAGGTGACTGGTTAGACTTTGCATTGTTTTTTCTCGAAATTAGAAATCAATCCTCTTTTGTCTATTTGTTATGACTTGAATAACAATAATTCCCAACGTTAATCCTTGTCCCGAACTGTACACTATCGATATGTCTTTCTACCTTAGCTTTCAACTTAAGGAACCTTAGTCAAAATGAATGTTTGAATTCCTCCCTCTGATAATATCATCGATTTTGAACTGATTTGTTTATACCTAAGGCTTACGAGAGTGTTGGAATTATGAATACTCAACAGAGTCATTAACTAGGTGGGAGCAAAATGAGTAACTGTTTCTTCTTCCTCTGAATGATGAATGGAGAAAACGCTTATAAATCTGATTGTAAGCTAATACAATAAAATAATTGTTTTTCTATAAACGCTTAAACAACAGAAATGATCCACTTAACCATAATCAATAATCTCTTGTTTTATTTATACATCCTTGTCTAACACAATCATTTAAGTGTCTGAATCAACCATGGACTTAGTCTCTGTGCTCATTGGGTCGTTCTTTCTATTACAAGTTGCGCTAAATAGTTTTTCTTTGTCTTCCAGATAATAATTTATAAAACTCTTAAACGTATTTGCCCAACTAGAAAAATGTGAAATCTAATCATAAAATTTGTATTTTGCATGAACTTACTGATAATAAAATGAGTAGTATATCACCCAGCGTACAGTGTAATTCAGTCATCAATCGATAGGATGAGAAGTAGTAAACCCCAGAAGAAAAAAAACTAGTTTATTTGAACAAAACTACTGAATGTTTGTTGAAATGTGTATGACTAGCCTTTTCTTTTCTTTTTTAAAAAAAAATAATTATTTTACTAGTCGAGGAATTCATCATCAGAAAAATGTTTGTTCATCGGAGTTACTAGCTACAAATATTTTGCAAACATTTAATGGACCATTATTAGCTAAATTATATCCAAAATCCCTTGATTTATCAGTAAATCTACCCTATGTAATGCGTAGACAAAAAGTTAATGGCGGTTGGTCTGATGAACGTGATCGAAGTCTTTGTCGAAGTCTATTATCTAGGCGATGGAATGAAATTCTTACACAATGGGCTCCCAAATTAACTCTGTATTCACCTATCTACTAATAAGATTATCTATATTGCTCAAATTTTGTTTTTCTTTTCAAGAAAAAATTGTTACCATTTAATCTTTCATTATTTTGTTATTTTAACTGTTTTCTTGTATTGTGGGCATTTTCACTATCATCACCTCCTTGAAAAAAAAATCCTTTGCTGCTGATTTCGTTTATGTAACACTCAGGTAATCATTGCGCCCTTCTCAGCTTATTATATGTGTAAAACTGATAAATGCCACCAGAGTTGCAATTTTTTTTTGGCATGAATAACTATTTTTTACCTTCAGGTTAATGTGTGTGTGTGTGTGTGTATGACCTCTCTGATGTGTGTAATTAGCAAGTTCAATATATGCCAACTAACTAGATGATAATTGATAAGATTTGTTTCATTGTTTACAGTTAAACATTTCATTCCTTTTTCAATGAAAAATTGTTTTCTGGTTATAAGATTTTCATAGTTTATTTTTTTGTTATTAATAAATAATTGTGTACAAGTGAAATTTCTGCTTTCATTTTATATACCTTAGTCATACAAAGAATTAACTGTTATTGTATTGCTTTTTATACAGTTAAAATGATATGGTGAATCCTTGATATCTTAAATAGGTGTGCTAACAATCCACTGATGAATTCCAGCCGAAAATCATTTAATACATTTCAATAAACCTCCAGATAGAACTAATCTAGCGCCTATTGCTGACTAGTTTTGAAAGGTTGGTGACTGCCGAAGTTGTGACCAGTGGAATCAACTAAGTCGAACATGAGAGAAGTTGCTCAATGATCGTGCTATATTGTGAACTGATAGAGGTAGTAAATATGGACCATTGGATTCTGATCGAGTGGCTCAATAGTAAAGTGCTGGCCACAGAACCTGAAGGTCCTGGGTTCGATTCCTGGCGGGACATTGTCATAGGTGTGTACTGCTGAGGAGTGGCATTCTACGACGAAACAGCTGTCCAGTGCCCATGGATTTCCAGTGTTCCTCTAATTCGTATCAATCCATTATGAATTCCAACCTAAAATGAATTTGATGTTGAAACGTGTCACATGGTATATTGTTATGTAGGCATATTTGAGAGCTATTCATAACAGCATCGCTAAAGCCACTTCGCTAATTCCCAGTGTACTAGCTAATAAAAGCGGAGTCAGTTATCCTTAAGATTGCCGAAATACAGATACCTAATGGTGTGTCACTCAAGTTTGATTATAACTTTTGTAGCGTTATGAAGAAGTCTAAATCATTAGATTTGTAAAATATTTCGATTGAATGATTAGTATCCTAACTGCGAATAATAAAGTTCTACTTAGATTTATTGTCACTTTTATAGTATTGATACTGAGTAGTTGATTGAAGGTGAAATAGAAATCTGGGTCGCGGGTAAGGTTCGAACTAGCGACCACCTATGATATCCCGGTTAAATATCTGTGTCAAATGAGCGCTACCTTATAAAATCTAATTATCTGTATTAGTGAATAATGCTATGTCGTTATAATTCCCAACCTGCTCATAAGGAAGACAGATATAAAACAATTGAGTAAGCTGATTTCAATTTAGAACCATACTACTATATCATCTATACAATAGTTAAAACGAATACAAACATTCCAAGTCCTACCAAATACATTCATAAAAGACTGCGCAAGAAAGCCGTAGACACAAGTGAATCATCTCAGGGATAAGGTTATAATGCTTTCCACTAAGCTATGAAATTACTCGACAGCAACATGTTTCAGCTACGCTCATATTCAATGTTCCAGATAACAATCAACACTAAATTGAATACTACTGCAAGTGTACGGATGCTTGACACTTCCTGGCTGCCACCACCGTGGAAGGCTATTTCTTCTTAAGTTACCTGAAAGAGGAAAAGATTTCTGTGACCGCAGAGCCCATGTAACATTCACTTGAGGCCTGTCCAGTACAGCCTTTTGTTGGTTGCTGTTTTGAGATCTGGCTGTTTTAGCGTCCCATAAAGAAAACCCATGTCGCCGCCACTGTAAGAGCATGAAGCAGGGAGGAATGTGCTACTTCTACGACCGACCTTTTGTAAGCCCTCGTTCCTGTAGGGAAGATAGGGTCATGCAATGGAAACACCTTAATGCTGTCACAACCCATCCAACCAGCAATACGACTTCACCCTCAGATGCCTATCACAATGTAGCAATTTACACTACAACGGTAGCTGCCCTTCATCTTACCGCTAGCCAGCGAACCTTGCTGGTGTGGTAGGACCTTAAGAGAATAAGCGTTTCAGGCAGTTTAACTCGTCCGGTCATTGTGATATACACTATGTCAAAGTAGCAGCAGTCGGTCAAACAACACCAAATTCACCATTTCAGAATAAAATCCGCCACTAATCATCCCCTCAATGCATCACAAAAAGCATTAGTTATGTTACTTGATGGGGAAAAAAGCTTAAAGTTTCTAAATCAAGTTTTCTGGTAGACAGAACGCTACTACCCTAGACCTATCTAATAATCCAAAGTTTCACTCCAATTTCCAAGTCATTCCTCAAGTCTATGGACGGTCTAACGCAAACTTGGTGGATTTGTTCCCTCGCAGATCAGGAAGAATTCAAGGTATATGAAAACGAACACTCCTGTCAGAGCAATCTGTTAACGCCTTCTCAAACTGATCTCTTTGATATCACTTTTTCTATCCACTTATTCTTTGTATACTACTGTAAGGAGGGTAGCTTGAACCGATCCAGTCGTGTGCGAGGTTCTACGTTGATTGTATCTGTATGTCTGGTATCTACCTGAAAATAACAACAATCTATGATCCTATGACTAATATTCATCATATACCCATCCATTATGAATTGGTACGTTACAGATGACTAAATGTGAAAAATTAAACAAACGATTTTATATTCTTTTTTTGAAAATAAGTAAAATTATAATCTTCCAGTACAGGAAGTGAATAACTTCAGAAAATGATAAAAATGCATTAACGTCAATGAGAGAATATATGTGCAGAAAATGAGAATATTATTTCATATTTGAACAAGATAAAAGACTATATGTGAATATGTCAGTTCAAAGAATTGAACCCGAGATTTTATTACAGGGAATTCTGAGGCAGTAAATAATGCAGGTAGGAAAATTCACGAGACTAATTACAGAATATAATGGTGTACAGTTCAAGCCAGTGATGAACATATAGAGCTTGAAGTGTTAAGGACAGGAGATGATAAACTTATTGATTTTACAAATTGTGTCGGAAGTGATATTTTATAGGATGATTTTGTTGAGACTTGTGAGTTAGATACAGAAGTTTCAACAGGATGACTAACTATTTCATAATCAATATCTTCTACATGTCGTTTACGATAAGAATTTATAGATGGATTTTTTGATTTTGTTTTCACACAGCAAGAAGTATTAGTTTGGGGACAGACATCAGATTTAGGCTGATCATTAAGATTACTTGATGTGGAAGGGGGTTGCAGTTCGGCAACCATTGGGAACACTGTTTTTGATGTTTCTTTGATTGTAAAATACAATTTAAACGGTTGCTGACGACGCCAAGCATAGAGACAGGCTAGGTCGGATAATGTATGTTCAGAATTGAATAGGTCATCAAGTGACAAAAACACGGAGACATCATGTTCACTGGGTTTCAGATTAAATTTCATTCGAATAAGCTTTTCGATATGTCCCACTGTAAGTTCAGGTGGACAGAGTAGGAATGTAGGTTGAATAGGCGGGGTAACAGTTAGTAACGAACTGACTGAATCATTTGCATCACCACAATCTTCAGTTTTATGTTCACTCTGGTTCCAGTATCGAAGTTCAATACTCAAACGATCTTCTTCTTGGAGTACATAAGTATTCAGAGTTACATCACCACGTTTTTCAGGACTAAGTGATCGACTATGAACTGAAGGATGAGCTGTGAAGTTGAAATGAAAAATTATAACCAATACAAACGGAAACCGACAGACGTAATTCACAAGTTTCCTTTAATTCTAAAGCCATTATAAAATGTTAGGTAGTTCGAAATCTATCTTCACTCCAGACGAGGTATGAAGAATAGGACAACGTCAAACAGTTTATTGATGACTGGATCTATAGTAATAAAGTGAAGAGCTAACCAGTTTACTGGACTCAACAAACTGCACCCTATACATCTGGAACTATGGTGTTACTAGGTCTAAGCAGTTGAGTTCAAACTTTAATCCACCTACCAAGATGGAGGCAGTCAAATGATGGTATCATTAGCCTTCCTCACACAGTATATATAGCTCATCGCCTACTGTATGAATGTACACGCGGTTACTGAGTGCATTACATATATATTACACATAAAATGAGAAAAAGGCTAAACGGTTGTATAGGATTTATGAAAACAACACAAAACATGACGTTCCTCTGATGTCTAGGGGGATAAAAACTGATGTCATGTCAATTCTTATTTGTTTCAGCAAAGTTAAAAATCATCTGCAACCGCACGTTTTAATGCAGTTTTGCGAACATTCAAATAAAAAAAGGTCAACGAACAACTAACACATATGGAAAGTGATCGGAAAGAAACTATGCCTGGGTTAAACTGTAACCATACGTCAGACTATTCACATCTAACCTTTAACAACTACCCCCAATCTTCAATTAAATCAATTAGGCATTACTATATAACGGTCCAAGTCGCGACACTTCATAATAGCACAACAAGTAACAAAGAAGTATGATGAAAGATGAAGGAAGCAAAAAATCGGTCCAATGCAGTAGAAATTAGTAAAAGAGTGGAAGGATAAAATGCTGAACTCAGTGTAGCGGTTAATATGAAGATAATATGTGTATACATCTGCATCACCGATATCGATTCTGAGTCGTATCACCTAGTCTCCAGCGGCTGATTTCTGTCATCACGCGGACCCCAACATGGTTCAGACCAACAGGTAAAGACTTCATGCAGTGATGGCATGTTTTAGTCTAACCGCGTCGAGCCTTTTCCCAGTCTTAACCTACTTCAGCTAACATTGTGCGACGAGGTAGACGGTGACACATATCACAGTCGTCTCAATTGATGAAGGTTCACAATCTTATCAACTAACTTTCCTCTCCTCCTTAAAACTTTATACCTGACTTCTGCGTTACTCACCTACCTGGTGACACCATGACACACGGCCTATGCTACGAAGGCAATGGTGGTAACCTCCAATCTTACAAAGTCTATGAACTCGTATCAGATATAGGGAAAAAGTGGTCCAGTGAACGGGTTCATTTCAGATGTAAAATCACGATTGAGAAAATGGTCAGTGTTCAGTGTGCCTACGATCTCACAACAGAGACAAGAAAATGTATTGCACTTTTCCAAGGAGTCTTATGATTTCAACATCACCAAGACAGAGCATTAAAGATGTAAAATATCAAATTCAACAAGTAGAAGGACATAAGTTACTTTGACCTCGATAACTGCAACAATACAACGAACGACTACTAGACTTAGTGACCGGAAATGATACTTCAGATAACAACACTTCGAACTGTGACGTAATCACAAGAAATAAAAGAAAAAACGTCAAAACGATTTCTTAACCGTTGCTTCAATTATCCTTACGACCAAAATAAAAATGGATATATACAGGATTTCATGAATACATCACCTGTGCATATTAAGTCATCTCCACAGGATGCTAAAGTAAATCAATCCCTAAGAGGCAGAAAAGATTAGTAATTACGTTAAACAATAAGTCTATGACAGACTTGAATCAAAATGATAAAAATGGATATCCGTGGCCATACATCCGGTTATAATATGCTTAGATGATTAATGACTAATCAAATTAATGATTCATATAATAGAATAAGGAAAAACAGCCTATATCGATGTGAAGTATTTCCCAACAGTTACATCAGTAACAGTGCTGAAACATCTCCTGTCTAATGAAGTTAAGTTGCCCTCAGTAAATACAACGATAACAGCCTTCCTCAACACAACCTCTGTTTTTAACTACAGCTTCATCATCAAAAATGATCTGAAGGATTCTTTATTCCACTTCATTCAATTTTGTCCGGTAAACTGAAATATTATACGAAACTAATCGAACAAAACAGGGGACAATTTGCAAACCATACCTGATTCCTATTTTAATCAGGTGGTTCACAAATTTGCATATAATTACCGATTAAAAAGAAGCAATAGTAAGACTTTAAGATATATTAGTTTAAACAGAGGTCTTTTCAAATACAGAGAATCATGGAGACGACGATAAAACCAACGTAGAACTTCGGACATAAGTGCATCGGTCCAAGCTGTAACACTTCACAGTAGTATAGAAAGATAAGTGCATAGAATAAGAGTGATTTCAAAGTAAACAAAGTTGTGTGAGCTAATAATCGATTCGAAGGTAGCGGACAGTGGAAATATTTACGCTTTAGAAGACGTGAAAGAGGGAATACATCTGCACAATTGTGAACGATTTTCAACCATGTTATAAATAGTCCTTAACCACTGATTCTCTTCGTCTTGGTGAAGCCAGCCAGGTAGTCTACATCCACCAACACGGCTCAGGTCAACAGTTAGGGACTTCATGGACTAGTAACAAGTCTTGATCTGACCATTTGAATTCCCTCTCAACCTAATGCAACTTCCCCTAGCGTGGCACGCCAATGTAGGTGGTGGCTCAGTATGCATAGTACATGTCTAAGCCATCTCAGTCGACTAAGGTTCACAACATCAATCGACTTGCCTGTCTTGCCTAGTACCCTTCACCTGACCTCCGTGATCTACCCATCATTAGAAATCAACTATTCAATAATGTAAAGTTGCGCGAAGTAGACATCATACAGGAAAACAGAAATATTGCAGTCGTTATCTTTCTACATGTCTAAACATGCTTCATGAGGAAACTTGCGACTAGATCGATTTTCAGGTCAAGGTTTGTCGAACGTACTAGCAATAAAACAGGATGCCACATCACTTTGTTTTACACCAACGATCTGCAAAATGAGACTTACGGGTAAACGTTATTGTAATGAATATTCTAATGGGAAAACTCGATGGAATTTGGAGACTATTTCAAGCTTAAACAAAACCAAATGACTGTTTACTTACCTCCATAAAATTTCCTTCTGCATAGCATTTCTTTCTCGAACAGATTTGGTATAAGCTTGTACACGATAGCTTGCAATGCACGATCAGGACGAATTGCACAAAGCGGTTTGGTCTTGTGTAGAAGTGTCTCACATACTGGACATGTTGTATTAATTTTCAGATAAGTTAAAATACAACTACGACAAAAAGAGTGAAGGCACTCGACAATTGTCGTAGCATCTATTAGGTAGCCTCTGCATAAACTGCATGTCAAATATGGGTTAAAAAGAACAACTGGGACATCTGATACTCGATGCATAGTGCTTTAGTTGTTGACAAACCAATCCGAAGAAGCGTGTCAATGGAAGTAATAATTCAGTGAAAAACGTCTACTAGAGATCATCAACTGCAGATGCATAAATATCGGTGAAAGCGGAAATCTGATTAGAAGTGGTGAAATAATGATCTGTAAATTAAAGGACAAATGTAAGAATGATGATGTGAAACACAAGTATAATAATGCTGTCAGATATTTTATCGTGTATGAATTAATGATATTAACCCAGCCGCCACAGGTAAAGCGCAGAATGCACCTGAGATTCTAAATCCCAGACTAAGGAGATACGGCAACAGGCAAGAAAGCCAGGAAGAAGTGGTTAAACTGCATTTAAAGTCATTGGTCACTGAGTTAGTATTCGAGTATTTTTGATCCATGGTGCCGTGTGGTCAAGATCGTCTTGATAAACATATCAGTTTTTTCAGTCATCCAATTAAGATGAATTGTTTAGTTCTTTACCTAAGGTATTTTTATGAACATGGAAACTTGAGCCGATGCACTTCTGTGCTAGGTTCTACGTACATTTTGTCTGCTTGTCTCATTAACTTCTAACTTTATAGACGAGAACCAGTGTTTTTAACGTAATTTGTTACGGAGCTGTGGTTCATTGGTTTAAGCACTTATTTTCCTACATATACGTCACGAATTTGAACCCAAATTCACCCACCGAAATTTGGACAGCTCAGTGAGTGAAATGGTCAACACATTCCACCACTTCCCATAATTAAACTTGCAGCAGACTAGTTCTGGAGCATCATACATTTGACAGGTACCAAACATACTCAGGTTTCTGCTCAACGCGTTCAGAACGCCCTACACAGCACCAGCATCTCCATCCAGTAGAACAATAGCAACTGCATACTCCAAATCAACCGGATAACCTCTGGGGAATAGATCAGTTACTGTGGAGTCAGACATATCTATGTCCCTTAATGCATATATAACGACGTTGAACAGAAATGATGACTGTCGGCATCCCTGGTGGACACCACTAGTTGTCACCAATCTACACAACGAGTCTCCATAAGCCATGACACGGCTACATGAGTTCGAGTGGAGAGCTTTGGTTACCGTTATATACTTGCTCGATACTCCCTTCAGGGTCAGACAGTGCCACATCTCATCATCGACAAAGTCAAATGTCACACCCAGGTCAATAAACATGGCAAGTCTCGGCCGCTGATAAGTATGCCTGTGTTCCAGAACCAGTCGAAGAGAGAAAATATGATCGATAGACCCTCGTTAACTTGTGTTTGAGTTGCTTCCACTCTTTATCATGGTCAGAGCTGGAATCAGTCTTCTCGTATCAGTCAGTTTGGTTGACATTGCAGAAATCTAGTGACGTTTGGTGACTTTTGGGTGTAGGTTAACAACTGTCTTTACCACTGTTTTTATAGCAAACCTAATATCACGCCAGGTTTCCTCAGCATCACCATAGCTATCATGTTCAGATAAATGCTTAGCTAATTACTCCCTAAATACATTTTTGGCGTCCTCGTCTTCTAATCAAGCAAAAACAGGCTTTAATACCGCCTGTTTCCTGAGACCAGTAAAGCGCAGACATACACCAGCCAGTACTAGTGCGTGATTGGGATCCAAACTGATTTTCCAGAAAGGGCAGCAATCCTCCGCCGATCTGGCTTGCGGCAATATGATCTACCTATGTCCATTGTTGGTTAGAAGACGGTAAATGCTACGTGAGACAGTGTCTCTCCTTAAGCCTAAAGTTAGTGTTGGCCGGAAACAAGTGACTTCGAAAAAAACTGCAACAGACGATTACCGTTGTTGGTTCGTGGTTCTGGAATTCTGTAAGCACCCTCAAAATTATTTTCCGACTGGTTCAGCTATCCTATTTGAGGGACTAAGTCACCTGTGATCATGACTGCATCTGAAAGTTTTGCTTTTGTAGTGAAAGTGACAGCTTTTCATAGAATTCATCCTTTGCGTCATCCGAAATGCAGTCGGTGGGTGCGTAGGCGACCACGAATAGGCATTGCCTAGTCTCATGATCCCTCCTAGTCCTTATAAATCTATTCAGTCAAACATTACATAGATGGCCATCGACTGGTATCCACTTGAGGAGCGATCTTTCTGCTCTACAACTCAACGCTACACCTACACCAGCGAGTCCACGAGAGCTAGTCATTGGGTCTCCGGATACTGTGAATTTTGAAGATTTGCTACTATGACCAGTGAGGTTAATTTAATAACTACAATCGGGTCCAGTATACGTGCCTCAGAAACAACGTGCATCTATACCTAGAGTTCTGGCGAGCGATGGTTGTTGTACGATTCGGCATAGAGTTTGGATGTTGAAAGCTCCTATATGAAATCGATGGCGTGCAGGCTCTTAGAAGACTAAGAATGAGTTTTCAATGGCTTTGATCGTTGATAACGGTTGCAGAGTGAGAGGTTGGGTAAGGCTCAGTAGAATTAATATTAGTATCAGGAGATGAAGGCAGAGGAGGAGAAATAGTTGAGGGGGATAGGTTATGTTTGATCGGGTCTTGCGTACTACTGGGAGTGTACAGGTGGTTGACACTTCCCGGCTCCACACACCGTGGAATTCTAAATCTTCTTGAGGTACTTGAAAAAGAAGAGATAATGCGTAACCTTAGAGTCCATGGGACATCTGCTTAAGGTCTGTCACATAGCCTTTTGGCAAGTTTGAGATCTTGGTTTTTGCTTCTGAATTTGACTATGAATCCTTGTTGCAGGCATCCGCATGCCGCAAGCGGTGGTAGAGTGCTATTTTTAAAACCGACCTTTTCTAACCCCCGCCTTACTGCTGGCCACCCAACGGAAACATCTTACTGCTTTCACACACTATTTAGCTAGCAGCAGCACGACTTCGCCCTCAGATCCCCATCATAGGGTAGTAATTTACACGACAATGGTAATTGTCTTTCGTCTTACCGCTTCCTAACAAAGATTTTTGGCGTGGTAGAACCTCGAGAGAGCAAGCGTTCCACCGGCATAACTCGTTGGGCCTTTGTGTTATGCAGGCCCAACCACCATATCAAGCTAGCAGCTATCGGCCAAGATATCAACGCCTAAGTAAATAATATTCAGTATCACTACAAATAAACACAGCTTCAGGTATTAAAATTATTTCAAAGAAGCTATGGTGTAATACTAGCCAACTCTTCAAACTGCTATCAGCGTATGCGGTGGATGGTTACCACTAACAGGTCAGTTTTCATGCACTACATCTTTCCACAATACTTTGATAAACGGAATTCGTTATCCATCTGACGCTGACTTGGTCTTGATTGATCTGCAAACCTTGGTCCTTCGGATATACTTCTACATGTTATTTGCAATTAGATTAAACGTCCGTTGACATCAGCTAATGTTTTCCAAAAGTATCCAAGCGTGGTCTTGGCTTTTGCCAAGCCTTCCAAGCTATTCTGCATCTTCGAGATGACACCAAACCTGTTCACAGGACCAAGAGATCCATACTGTAAACCTTATCAAAAATTCTCGAGTTGACACTCAGGGCGTCCAGAAGACTCAGGATTTTGTCAGCGTTTTCACATAACAGGACTCTCATTTGGGTACTCTATATCTATCAATGATTCTCATGTGGCTAGATCAATCTCTGTGAGCCCAGACAATGAGATGGATACCTCCAAAAGTGGGTTTATGATTGAGTAAAGTAAGAATGGAGAGAGTGGACACCCATGATAGATACCACGGCGTACACCACCCCCCAAATGTTCTAACACGCCCACGGGTGTTCGCGTAGACACTTCAACAGTGATGTACTTACTCGATACCCCTTTCAATGAGACTGTCATAAAACATCTGGACCGATGGAGTAGAATACCACCTACAAGTCAAGAAATATGGTTGGTATTGAGCGTCGGTAGGTGCGCCTATTTTACAGAAACTGGGGGAGGGTGAATATCTGGTCGATACACGCATGGTTAGACCTGAAGCCTGCCTGGTTTTCTCGGCTTTATTGTTCATGAGCTCTGAAACGCCTAATGGTTATAGGATTTAGAATCTCAAACACTCCGGTAGGCGAATCCCTCTGTGATTATCAATAGAGGACCTTTGCCCATTCTTAAGGACTGGAAGAATCAGCGGTTGAGACCATTCGGGGAGGATCATATGTGACTCCCATAAACTCGCTAATACTAGTCAGTTTGGCTAATAAATCTCTACCATCGTCTTCAAATGCCTTTGGATCCAGTCTGTATGGTACTGTTGTTTCTCTTCGTTTCAGATTACTTACAGCTCTGGAGGTCCTATCTAGGAGGTTACATTCAGGATAAGACTATGACCGGCAACAGAGTAGTAGCTTAAGGTTAGCTGAAAGGTTGCTTGAAGCATTCCGTCTATCGTTTAAGTCACCTAACCTACAAATGAATCACAGACCCATCCTTCTCTACTAGTCCTACTAAACACTGACATTTTCATTCCAGTTTTCTTGATAGTGTTAAATAACTGTCTACCATTATGTCTATCACCGCCGCCCATTCTAATACTTTATACTTCGCTGTCTACCACTGTTCGCGGTCATTGCGCAAACTTCTTATCAATATAGACTCCAGCTTTTTCTGTTCCTAATGGTAATCGGAGCCTACAAGAATGCATTTGTGTGCACTCATAATTTCAGAAACTGCTGAGATTCCCTGGCCATATTTGACAACTAGAATCAGCTACAGCCTTCAGCGCTGTTTTTACAGCATAATAAAGATGGCAACAGGCTCCTTGATGAGCGATACTGTTCTGGTCCAATAACTGTCTAGCCAACTTGCTGCTGAAACCAGTCCTAACATTCCCATCGTCGACCTGCATTCGCAACTACCTTGTTACTATAATTTTTCTACATTCATTTAGGTGAAGACTTATGCGCACTCGAACCAGCACCTAGTTGCTGTACCAACACAGGCTTCAGAAGCCACCTCTGTTGTGTGGGGGCTAATGATCCTACCTGGTTGCCCGAACCTCGGCAGGTGGAGCGGGGCTCGAAT